AAACCTGTTGCGAACTTTGAAAATCGCATTGCGATTCTGTATTATCTCGTTGCGATAGTCAGAATCTCGTTGCGAAAGTCAGAATCGCGTTGCGAAAGTCAGAATAGCGTTGCGAAAGTCAGTATCGTGTTGCGATTTTGTATTATCGCGTTGCGATAGTCAGTATCGCATTGCGATTTACTTATTCACATTGCGAATTGGGAAAATCGCAACGCGAAATTGGAAAATCGCATTGCGATAGTCATAATCGCGTTGCGAATCTGGAAACTGATTTGCGATAATGGAGATCGCGTTGCGAATTAGCGATCGCATTGCGATTTTGTTGGTCATTTTGGCAAATCCGGAAAAAGTTGGTTAAAATCGTATATTATATGGGATTTTTGGTCACTGAGGTTATTTTCTCTTATAAATTTTATGTTAGTCTTATTATGTTACCATCAACAATAACGGTTACCAATTATGTATATCCTAATTTTGACCATTACACCTAAGGATATAGGTATGGGTCGGACTAAATTTTTAACTTACCTGAAACTAGGGGTGTGCAAATCCGGGTACCCGATTTCCGTGTACCCAGATTTTCCGGGTCGATGATTTCTCGGCCCGTGTCCCGACCCGGATGTTACGGGTACCCGGTAATCGGGTACCCGATACCCGGTTTTTAATTTTTTTTTCAAATTATTAATTTAAAAAATATATACAGAAATTTAAATGTTCTAAACTTCGAATTACATACTCTAATATCCGAACATAAAATTTAAAAGTTCAAAATACAAAATATAATAATCCATAATATAAATAATTCATTATATTTTATATAATTATATAAAAAAAATAAAAAAAAATAAAAACTAACCGGGTACTCGGGTAACCGGGTACCCGGAAAAATTAGATTTTGTGACCCGGGAAATGTCGGGCCGGGTAATTTTTTTAGAAAATTACCCGTTTTTTTTAGATCCGGGTCGACGGGTCGAGTCAACCGGGTCGGGTAATTTTGCACACCCCTACTTGAAACGGACATGAGTATTATATTTGTATCCTCACCTGATTTGATTCGAGTTTAAAGAGATATTTGATTTGATTTTTGAATAAAATTGATATTTGATTTGATCAAATATATATATATATATATATATAATTCTTATTTTTATTCAGTAATAAAGAGATCTAATTGAAAAGTATAGAGAGATGATTATTCTTGAAATTGTTCTTAAATATATAATGAATTATTATACTATTATCTCGGGTCAAAGATTTTTCCCCTAAACCCGAATTCAACTCAACCTTATCCTTCAAAAAACATGACTTGGTCTATATATGAATTTTCAAAGAAAAAAGATTCGATCATATAAGATCGGAACAGACTAAAATATCGTACTCATCCCTAAATACACCAAGTTTAATTGAAATTATATAATCGCAAGAACATTGCTTAATTTACCTTTTTTTAGTTAAATGTGTCTCATTGATTGATCAATGAGTACTGCATAGACCTATTAAAAGGATCATCAATCAAATTTAATTTACTCCACTTATAATTTAAATTCAAAATTTTCATCTTGATTAAAAATTTAAAATTCCATCCCATAAAATTAACTAATTAATTTAGTAGTACTTAATTCACTCATTTAGACCATGTATTAATAATATTTTATAATTGAATTATCACACATATATTATCATAAAACTAATTACCAACTATGCAGAAAGTGGACACATTTCAATTATATAAAAAGAGGAATAAAAATTGAGAGTTTGCCAATGAATCCAAAGATCAGTACAATATGAAATATTGACAGAAAACGGTGAACATGATGAATAAGGTCAAAATAATATTTTAGGTAGCGTTTTATCGTAAATGTTAAAAAAATAATATTTTTGATAACATATTTCTTTAATAGTATATTAAGGTTAGCGTAAGACATCCGAGATTCATGGCACTGTCCAAAGATGAATATTAAAATTACAAATTTGGTACAAAAGTACAAATCAATTGGTCCATGACGCATAATAGTTTAAGGTGGTAACATTTCTTCGCTATCACTCGAATGCTTGAGTTCCAAGATTTGGTAAATTGCAATTTGATATATTTCTATTTTGATCTCGGAAAGTTTCTTTTAACATTAATATATGAATTTAGAATTTTCTATCATTTTACTAATTTAATGTCACAGTCTCAAAATTACACACCATTAAAATATTAAAATTAGAAAAACCATCAAGTTTAAGACTATTGTAGATAAAATATGTTAGGGACTAAATTAAAAATGTTATCAAATTTAGATACTAAAAATTACATTTTTCTAGAAATAATAAAAGCTTCTTTTACTACTACAGTGTTCCGCCCGACATAACGTAGATGGATATCTTTTGTTTATTACGTTGAAGTGTTGAATTTCTTTTAGAGTCATTGTTAAGTGTCCATAAGAAAGTGAAATGTGTTATATCATAGTTTTTTTTCAATGGTAGATTTAATCATAATTAAATAGAATATTTATTTTTTAAATATAATAAATTACCTTTTTTTTTATAAATTTACGAGATTAAATATTTTAATAATAATATATCACAAATTGAACTGATTAAATCGTCAGTTCTAGTAATATAATCAATTTAATCAATAATTTAATCAACTTCTTACAACATTATCTTTATAAAAAATATTAAATTAAAAATATATATTAAATTTTTAGATGAATACCTCGTTATTAGGTCAAAAGTGTTGAATTGAAGGCATATTATATGTACGGGTTTGACTATTTTGTGACTATAGTCATATTTTCAGATTCAAATGAGACATATATATATATATATAAAATTTATTATATGCGAACCTAATGTTTTAGGGATTTATACAGGGACTTGGCATTTCAATAGTCAAATAAATGTTTAATATTTTCGGATCAATTCAAACAAAAATTAAAAATTTTAAAATAATCGAATACTCGAATTTGCTTAAACAAGATAAAATCTTTTTTCATATTTACTCAAAAAAAAAAAATTGTTATCGAAAATGTTAGGTCATTATTTGAGCATATTAAAAAATATTAGAATCTTATTTAATCATTTTTAGAATGTTGGGCCCTTATTAAGTGTTTAACCTATGCTTTTATAATGCTATTAGTTAGTCTAAATAGGTAATATCGTTAATTATAACATTCAAAATGCTTTTATCGTTTTTTATCCCAAAAAAAAAAACAATTGTAATCCAAAAACTTACACATTCTATTAAATTAATCATAATCTAAAAAATATATAAATGATCATTATTTAAAAATTTATTATTGTACGAATCAAGTCACCTCAGTGGTAAAAAGTTGTTATTATTCCTTGAAGTATCAAATTCGAGCAATCTTGTACTTAACCTAGATTAATTAAAAAAGCATTATTAAAGCATTAAATAAATAAATTATTAAAAATCGTTTCAAAATAAAATGAGAAACAAAATTGATAAAATTTTTATAAATTAAAAATAAATATTGAATTAGGAATAATTTGATAGTATATATAAGTTTTTGGGACTAAGACCATTATTATACCACGTTCCACAAATTTTATTTAGTCAATGATCAAGATTGACGATATGGTTTCTAATTAACCTGCAGCAGCTGGATTTTTTTTTCCTTTGGTTTCTGAGGAATAGGAAATATTGTTTGGATCCATTTTGTGGTGTCTATAAACGAGACGGAATCAAACAATATTTTCACCGAAAGTTTCAAAGGTGGAGAGCGTGCTGCAACGGAGCCGACGATTGATTATGGAAGCAAAACAAGCGTAAGATTTATCTTTGGCACCTTTACACAGGTGTAATAGGAAACCTCGGGACGTTCGATGGAATCCTCTGCTTCGGGGATGGTATAAGGTCAATACGGATGGGGCTCGTAGACCTATAACTGGCCTCACAACATGCGGTGGAGTTATTCGGGATGTTTCGGGGAATTGGATTGGTGGTTTTTCGAAAACTATTGGAGTGTGTACGGTGTTAGATGCTAAACTTGGGGGCTCTTCAAGGACTTACTATGGCTTGGAAGTTGGGTTTGAAACACATAGTGCTTGAGACGGACAACAATGATACTCCTAAAGTAAGGTGGTAACATGGATTCGGTTTTTGCTCATGTGACTTGAGAAGGAAATCGGACAGCGGACATCATGACAAAGTTAGCTTGCCGTTTGGATTTTACACTTTCAACGATCCTCTTAGAGAGATTTTGTCTATCTTTCATGCTGAGATAGATAGATAAAACAGTAAGCAGGGATGGGGTTTTAGTTTAGACCCTCTATTTTTTCTTCTTTCCATTCAAAAAAAATTGACGACATGGTACCAAAATAGAAATGAAATGTAAGATTGGGCATAATTTTAAAAATTATAATTAGATGGTCAAAATAAAAATACAATAATAGATGCAATACCGAATACATAGTTTACCCTATAGTTTATCTACTTTGAAATATTAAAAAAACTCGTGAAAAAACCGGGAAATCAACGAACAATCACAGCCTGTTCAAATAAAAAAATAAATCAAATTTAGTAAAAAATCAAGAACAAAACCCTACGTACCATCCAATTCGAACCCAGCATTTACTTTTCGTTAAGTCGTTGCAAATGAAAAAGCTAACCCTAAAACACCAAACCATGAAATTGTAATGAAAACACAGACAGACAGATGAGCAAACAAACACAACGAAGCCAAAGGGTTTGAACAACATGAGGAGTTGGTTTCCATAAATAAGCCTGCTCTTGTTGCTGTTCTATTCCGGGTTCCAGAAACATGAACAGCAACCCCAGTCTGGGTTTTGTTTCGTTCTAAATTCTTGTTTATCTTTATTTTATTTATTGATTGATTAATTGTCAATATATCTTAGAAAGAAAGAAAAAAAAAACGTTTTATTGCTTCGTCTTCTTGTTTCTGCATGTATTTCCTTACTATTTTTACCTTTCAGTGTGTTTGGTTTTGAAAGACTTGGACGGTTTTCTCTTTGGTCGGACTTTGTAATTGAACATGCCGTACTCTTTCTGTGGATTTTCCCCGATGTTGTTTGGTCGGAAAATACCGGTCAAACTTCCCCAGGTAATTATTTGGATTTTCTTCTTAATTATTTGTTCTCTGCTTTTTTTTTTTTGCATGCGATTTTTTTGAGTATAAGATCCTTCTTTGTTTTAAAATTAGAAAATTTAAATCTTTGGTTCACATTTTCTTCGGTTTAAATACTTGTTACATCTCTATTTATTTTGAAGTTAGACAAATTAAACTTAATCTTTAATTTTTTTTGGTTTAAACACTAATTTATTTAGAATAGTCGATCTAGAATGATGGTTACTTAGCTCATGAATCAACATGCAAGGTTATCAATTTGTGTTCAAAGGTTAATTTAGAAATGTGAAATTATATATATATATATATATATATATATATATATAAATTATATTTTAAGCTGTTAAGGATATAATCCCTTAACTCTCAATGTTTATCAAAATTATCATTTTGTCCCCTATTCTATTTTTAGATCATTTTGGTCTTTAAAGTTTTATTTTAGGATAAAAAAACTTCCAACATTTGACTGAATAATAACTTTGTCTCTTATCTCTTTTTTTGAAGTATTTTAGCCCTCAACGTTTCATTTTATGTTTATAAGGCTCCTATTTTGGAACATTTTTTGTGTGTTAACTAATAATTTTTATCTATAGAGGGAACTTTTTCCCAAAGTGAAATGTTGGGGTCAAAATACTCCAAAAAAAAAAGATTACATGTCAAAATGATCATTTTGGTGAATATTGGGGGTTATTTTTGGTATTATGCCTAAAATTTATATAATTATAGGTTAATATATGATAAAATTATATTTTTGATCTCTCTAAAATGATGAAATTATGATTTGATCTTTATAATTTTTGTAAAATTATAAATTAATACTGTTATGAAATTATATTTTAATTCGCATAAAAGAAAAAATTCTCAATTGGTCCCTGTCCAACTGAAATTATTTTTTGTGACTTTGTACAGGGACAAACTCCCCCTCAGCCTCATGAATCTAAGGCACCCAAGAATCGAAAGGAAATTATACAGGTTGCCAAGAAGGAAAGTTCATCATCTCAATCAACATTCAACTTCATTTTGATCATGGAGCTTAGGAAAAAGATCATAGCTTTCAGAGAATTATTTGATCTACCACTTCCTAATACATCAGTTTCAATGGATCAGGTCTGTTTTACCAAACTTCTAAATCCATCAAAAAAGCATAGTACAGGACTTTATATGCAATTTGACTAACTACTTTGATCCAATGTTTGTTTCAAGAGATTTATATCTTTCCTTATATGTCTCGCTGCAGTTGCTGATAGGGACAATGAAAGACCTAAATAAGTTCTGCCCTGAAAGCATACCAAATTTCCGAATTTCAGAGTTGAAAAGATTATCTCTTGATAAGGTATTGCCCTTTTCCCCCCTCATAAAATTAGCTGAAAAAGGAGTGTTTTGATTTATCCTATGCTAACTGTTCGACGAAATGCCTCAAACAGGTGCTGGTATACTTTTGCAAGTCATTGCAAGGCCTTGGAGACACGTCAAAGATGAGTGATAAGTGGATATACAAATATAAATACGATATATATGAGCATGATAATGAAAAATGCAAAAAAGTTGATAAACTCGGTATGTAGTAAAATTTCTGGACGTAGTTCTTACATGTTGGTGATGACTATATATTGCTCTTACATTTTGACTTTCGCAGTTGAAATTGCTGTGGAAACACTCAATGGATTGATTAAGATAGCGAGGGAGAAATTCGACATGACCGATGAAGATGATGAGAGCAGGGAGTTCAGTTTGAAGGCGAAAACGTTCGGAAAGGTCTTGAAGGAGTCTTATTTGGAAAACAGCTCGAGTTGCCCTTCTCCCGTGACACCAACGTCAGTACTTCCTGAGGGGACGAATGGTTCACCAAAATCCTCATCATCTGCTTTGTTACCGATCAGGGTTCAATCCACAGAGAAACTGAACCCTGACCATGTGAAGCGGCTCCCGTTAGATATGCTTCCCAAGGTTCGAGTCCATGTTCCTAGCTCTTTGAACCAAAAGAAGGCTACCAATGAGAAACAAAAGAAAGAAGTAACGGGCAATTCTCCAGTGAGAAAAGCCTCAATTGTTGATGAAACCGGAGATTTCAGCTTTCAAAATGCGAAATTAGATGTTCCGCTTTCTAATTCAAACAATGCTGATAGTGATAAAACAAAGTTCTCATCAAATGCAGCACTGCCATCATCACCACCAGAGATGCAACCTTCCAAGTTGTTGAAAGATAAAGAAGTGGTTGCCGAAAAATCACCACGACCACGACCTCCATCGGCATCACTAGTGCCTTCACTGCCAACATCTCCATTGCCATCAGCATCACCATTGCCTTCAACGCCAACATCTCCATTGCCATCAGCATCACCATTGCCTTCACCACCAACATGTCCATTGCCTTTGCCTTCACAAGCATCATCAGCTGAAGTTTCATTGCCTACGCCACCATCAAAGAGATCAAAGATGTCAACAGATATGGACAGAGACATAAAATTAAGTCCACCACCACCAGCAGGACTATCAGCTGAAGTTTTGCTGCCAATCCAGCCATCAAAGCTTCCAAAAGATATCGGAGTAGATATAAGATCCTTAGCGCCAACAGCACCACCATTGTTGCAGCCAAATGTAGTATCAGGAGGACCACCAATACCACCGTTGTTACTGCCAAATGTAGTCTCAGGAAAACCATTAGCACCACCTTTGTTGCAGCCAAATGTAGTATCAGGAGGACCACCATTTCCCCCACCCCTAACATCACAACCAACTGTAGAAGCTGCTCAAGCAACATTGGTAGCAGCAGCCAGAATCCCATTGCCGCTTCCACGGTCACCTCCACCTCCAACCTCATCGAAGCCAATTGTAGTGGCTACAGGAGCACCCCTTCCGCCACCCCCTCCAATCACGTTGAGTTCAAAAGTAGAGCTTAATGGAGCACCACTTCCAGTTCCACCACCACCTCCACCCCCTGGAACAACATCAACAATACCACAACCTCCTCCACTGGCTGCAGCAAAAGCCTTGAGCCCCAAGAAAGCAAATACTAAACTGAAGAGACCATGTCCGGTGAGTAACCTATATCGGGTTCTTAGGGGCAAAGTAGAAGGATGTCCATTGCAAAGCAAATCATCTAGTGAAAAATATATTGGCGTTGGAAGCATACCTAGTGGAAAACAAGAGATGGCTGATGCATTAGCAGAGATGACAAAGAGGTGCATTATGAACCTGAACCTTATTTCCAATGATTTTCGTTCTTAAAGAACAAGGGGCATTAGTGAAATAAGTGACTAACCATATTTGTTATTCGACTTGGTTTCAGATCAGATTACTTCCAACAGATTGAAGAAGAGGTCGAGAAATATGCAAAATCAATCACAGAGCTCAAAACCGCTATCAGCACATTCAGTACCAATGACATGACAAAGCTCCTCAAGTTCCACAAACATGTGGAATCCATTCTCGAAAACGTAACAGATGAAATTCAGGTTATTTTAGCTCGTTTATCGACCTTTATTTCATTATGTTGACGAATCTATTACTTCATGAATTGTTGTTCAACCTCAAAATGTTTTGGATTGCAGGTTCTAGCAAGATTTGAAGGATTCCCCAATAAAAAATTGGAAGCATTAAGGACAGCGTCAGCCCTTTACTCGAAGTTAGAATCAATGATCACTGTGCTTCAAAACTGGAATTTTGAGGTTCCTCTGGCCGAGCTTCTTGACAAGGTTGATCAATATTTCAACAAGGTACAATTTGGCCCTAACCATTTTAACCGTTACCTTCTATGGCATTTCTCCATAACAATGAAAATGCATATAATTATGTACAGATTAAAGGGGAAATAGATACCTTGGAGCAAACCAAAGACGAAGAATCCAAGAAATTTATGAGCCACAACATCGAGTTCGACTTCCAAATTCTTGTACAAATCAAAGAAGCATTGGTTGATGTTTCCTCCAACTGCATGGAGTTAGCTATGAAGGTGAACTAATTTTCCAATCTCAGTCAATTTTGAAGCTTGTTATTATTCTTCTGGCATATTACATCGGATTTCTTTCACCTGCTTTTTGGATCGGAAAACCAGGAGAGAAGAGAAGTAAAGTTGATAGAAAATGAAGGGTCCAAAACCAAAGCTGAAGCACAAAAGAAAGGGTGCGTTAAAATGCAATGGAGGGCTTTCCATTTGGCTTTCCAGGTTTATACATTTGTCGGAGGACACGATGATTGTGCCGACATCCTGTCCCGAGAACTGGCTGAGGAAATCCGGACCGACCCTCATCATGCATAGCAGTAATGCCTATGCGAAGTTCATACTGAATTAAGTTACATATAAACTATATATAGTGCTTGAGAAACTTCAGGTATTGAAGCTTCCAAGTGCTTTGAAAATCAATGCTATTTTTGCTAGCGTTGTGATTTTGAAGATGAACCAGTTAAACTCTTCAGCTTGAGATTGTAATTTATGCCATTTTTTTCTTCGAAATTAACAATTAATTTTATTATTAAATTAATATTTTTTTTTCAAAGTGGTATTTTTCTTAATTCATTAATGCTCTACGATTGACTCATAATTTTGGTATTTGGATTTTAGGTATAATTTTATTGATCAGAGACTAGATGTTTAAGTTTCTTTAATAAATTATAAATGTTAACATTAAATTAATATTTTAGTGAATAACCTACTGGTCAACTAATATAAATTTTTTAATTTAAGACTGTTCTAATGATTTCTCAAACAATAAACACTCAAATATCTTGTGCAATATCTGGTGTTAGAACCTAATCGTACACTAATAAACATTTAAATAACCTAATCGCACACTAATAAACATTTAAATAACGGCGAGAAAAACAATATAAACATAAAGTTCTCTTAGGATGAGTACGGAGTAAAATTATTTCTATTTTGTCAATAATTATGAGCTTTTGTCAAAAACGGTCACAGATATTTACAAATATTTTTTATGATCCTACACTGACATGTACTAAAAATCATTATAAATACTTCATTTAAGATTAGGAGGGTTAGATTGTTTATGACCAACCCTCCTCCTTTATGTGAGCAGTCCATCCCTCCTTTCTCACGATAATTCACTTTTTTCTTTGTCCAAACGTCGATCAACAATCGTTTTCTCACCGATTGTATTTGACAACAGTGCCTAACTTATTCTATCAATGTCATGTTAGAATTCGACTCTATAAGAATATTTGAAAGTGATTGATATGAAAAGGGGCCCAGTGGTATTGAAGAAGAAAATTAAATTCAAGGAAACCGGTGCTATAAAACAAATCAGGAAACAGTGGCTCCAATATCCACATGCTCTGGACCTTGAGGGGGATGAGAAGTGACACCATTCAATACAATAATGCTTGAACGGAGACTTTGCTGCCTAATCAACTAAAGCATAAGCATACAGTTTAGTATAGGTATGATGTTAAAGTTCCGTGATTTGAATTTTGTTTAATTTAGATTAAAAAGTATGAGATATCATTTGTTTGTATAATACAAGGACTAATGACTAACACAACTTACGTATAATACGAGGGTTAAACGTATCATATCATATATCACTTCCATTTTCCTCATTTTTATTTAGGTATAAACTGTTATATTCTGCATGTTCTTTTTTATTCGTTTGGCCTTACAAAAGAGACTTCAGAACTTAGATACATGCTGCAAGCAGTCAAACCATTATTTTATGAACCGAAAACAACATACACGTACACCCAGAAAACAATTAAAACAATATGCAAACACTGTATCACCAACAGTCGAACTTTCCTCTTCAAGAAGAGCAGCAATAGGAAAATAAATTATTACTTTCTAAAGAAGCCCTCTTCTTCTCTTGTAGTCACTAACTGTCAAGGTAAGGGCGTGTCTCCTCCCATCATTCTCGGGGACTCTCCATCCGACAGTTGCTTCTATCCTTTGTTTCCTGGCCATGAAACCTGCCACAGCACCCTCGTGCCCACCAAACTTCCGAAGCGCTTCCAATGAGATTGGAAGCTCAAAGTTGTGCAGCATGTTAGATTCTGTTCCCTCGGGGGCACTTGTATCGATCAATTTCCCTGCGCCAGCAGCTTCCTGCAAGGCAGCTGCTGTGGCTGCCCTGCCAGCCTCTGCAGCAGCAGCACCTGCATCATTGCCATTGGTGCCACCATTAACAGGCGCCGCTGAGCCTTTGCATTATAGTAATTTCTTGATCTAGTCCACCTCCTTGAAAATGGATCATATCCAGCCTCTCCTGCTTTTAAACCAGTGTTTACGGGTTTCAAACCTGATGCATTTTTGAAATTCTCAACTCTGTTCTTTCGGTTCATCTCAGCCAACCTGATAGCCTTGGCATCTTTCTCTTGTGACTGCCGGGAAGCCTCCAGTTGCTGCAGTCTCTTCTTAATCCTCTGAACCTCTGTCTCGTCATGCCTGATTAGTGCAATTTCCAGGTCCCTTCTCAATCGGTCCTTCTCTGCCGCAATGTTCAATGGTCTAGATGAAGAGGATTTTTTCTCCTGCAACATCTGCTTTACAGTAGCTGCAGAGTAGACAAAAGTTTTGGCCTTCTGTAACGCTTCCTTCTTTTCCAATACATCTTGCTTGCTCGGCATCCGGCCCCCACTTCGCTCCACCTCCCTAATCAATTGTCTAAACTCCTCCTCTTGTGGTGGGGAGTCTGAAATCATAGCCTTATGCCACCTGGCAGCGGAACTTTCATTTCCCCAAACAACATTCAAGTACTTAAATGTCATCTTGTTCTCTAATTTGTATGTCCGATTGGGATCTGTGGCATCAACATTTCTGACCATGCAGAGCCTGTAGATAGGGCCACTTTTCGACCTTCCAATACCAACTCTTACAAAACAACCAACAATCAACTCCTCAAAAACGGCTCCATAAACCATTTTGCAAGTTTAGACCTTCTGATAGTAATTTCCTTAATATCATTAAATGTTGGTCCATTTGGCCCCCATGTGCCCCTCTCATCCTCACTATCAGCCATTCCACCATCTCCAGTTGACCCTTCGTCTTCACTGTTGGACCTACTTTCACTCTCACTCTGACTAGAGCTACTTAGACTTGATGCAATGAAGGGTTTCCGCTTGACTGGTGATGATCCCCGGCCACCAGAACTGCTTTTAGATGCATCTCTCAACTTACGATGTGCCTCTGGGTCTTGCTGCTTCAGTCGTTTTGCTCTCAACTCATTCAGGGCATCATCCTTAGCAGCAGCTCTATCTGCAGATCTAGCCGATGACCGCACTCCACGAGAAGAAGGAAGAGGTGGAGTCTCTCTCCGTGATTGGCTAGGCTTATCATTTTCCCGCTTTGATCTAATCTTTTCAGTAAATTTCTTATCACCTCTCTTATCTGCTCGTTCAGACAGAATCATTTCTCTCTCCAGTTCAGTCAATTGTGCAAGCTGTCGCCTATCTTCCTCATTCTTGTAAAGATCATCACCAACATCAGATTCATCACTGCTGTCACGTTCACGGACAGAACCAGCATCACCGTAATCGCCTTCTTCCTGACTGCCCTGATCGTCATCTCTTTCAGCAGGGTCCAGCCTCTTCTTCAATGGAACTTGAGACCCGGATGGTTTTCTACTTGCATATCCACGATCATCATCTGAATCATCATCCCTAGAGTCACTTCCCCCATCTGAATATGAACCCTCACGTTTCCTTCTTGACGGTGGATGAGAGTGTTGGTTTCTCCCTCCAGTACCTGTTCTTCCTGCTGCCTCAAGAAGCAAATTTTCTAAGTCTGCCATGATCACCCGCACACCCTTCTACACTGTGAAAGATTGTTCCGCTTCTGAAACCAACTAAGAAGTTGTAGGAAACCAGTTTGAACATTCATTAAATACATATGCAAGAAAATTCTGTTACACACCTACAAAGGAATTCTGACGAGATACTCTATTAAAACAGATACAAAGCAAGCACATAACCCATACAGCAGGGGTTTTCGTACACTCTATAAACTCATATATGGTATAATAATCAGTAAAAGTTTTTACAGTAAAACAATTTCAATTGAAATATACTAACAACTCAAGGGGTGTACTTGAAACCCCAAGTCCTTAACTTGCTCATATAGCATCCTTCTTCAACTCTTTTATCATTATCATTGATAAATCACATAATCAATTAACAAACATCATAGCAGAATAATGATAAAGCAACGATTCCATAAAATCACTTGCTACGATCTAAAATCTAACCTAGATAAACTGAAAAAAACAAATTTTCCTACTCCCTGCATGCACCACCGATTATTTTAATATTTAAAATTTGGGGCGAAAATCGTATACCACGAATTAAAAAAAACATAAAAGTGAAAGAAACATATGAAACCGGCGCCAACGAAGCAGCACCGCCTTAACGTCGGAGATATTAATATACCCAGGAAACAAAGAGGACAGACAAATGAAGAGAAACAATGACTAACCTGGGTCTCAAATCAGAGAGAAATCGAAGGGTAAGTAGGGAAGAAGGGTTAAGAACAAGCTGGGTTGGATTTGGGATTTTAGTTATCGACCATTTATTAGTTACTACCAGGCACTGGTTCTTTTATTGCTTTTTAAATCCAATTCTGAACTCTACTTTCGCCCTATTTAGGAAAACTCATTGTGTTATAGGAAATGTTTTTTAATAAGGAAAACTCGTTCTGTGATTAGACTCGAATTTTTATTAAATTTATTTGGGAAATTTATTCCTTTAATTTAAATATGAGATTAGAAATGTTTTATTTGTCATTAAACTCGTTATGTGGTAAAGAAATGATTGTTATTCCTTAAGGATCCGGGTTCAAGCACCATAGATGCTAGGAGTGTGAGCCTTTAATATTAAAATGTTAAGATTTATCTTTAAACAGATTTTATCTTGTACTTACTCTATATTAATAAAAAAATGAGTTTCGAAATGTTTTATCTTATTTAAATTTTGAGTCAAATTTTAAAGTAAAAATTTATATCTAAATACATCAATTTAGTTGTCTTAGTGAACATTATTATTATTTTTTTGGAGGTTTGAAGTTTAACTACTAACTATTATGGAATATTAAAGTGTTAATTGTCTCAGAAGAGAGTCTTTAGAATAGTTTTTTTTTATTTAAAAGTAATATTGTAAGTGATAATTATGTTATTATCTTATGTTTTACAATTTTGATCGATCTGATCTGATCTACTCTAACTACTATTTATTAATATAAAGTATATAAATTTAACTAGGAAAATACAAAATATTAACATAAAATAGTTTCATTAATAATTAGTAATAATATTAAGGTTAATGTCGAATTCAAACTATCAAACTGAAATAGAAATGAAAAAATAAATAGATATAACTGAATATATCATAATGATTATTAAATATAATTGTCTAAAATTATAAAAAGAACTTCATATACCTTTTATCTTAAAATAAATTTAATTCTAATAAATTTAAATTTTAAAAAATA